TTGGTGTTCATTGAGATGTTTCTATTTTTCAGGATTGGGCTCATTTTATTTGAAACTAGCCTTAGCCATTGCAGTTCTCCTTTGTCATCATCTTACCTGTAAATAATGTTGTTCAGGACATTCGTAAGTGAACTGTTGATCGTAGTCGGTCATCCAGGAGACACCACTTGCAAGTGGTAACAAAACAACCAACACAACTGTCAGTTCCAGTTCCATCTTGCTCAACTTCAACGACTGCGCAATTAGAAAAAAAAATGTGAAGCAACATGGTGAAAAAAAGCGCTCGTCAAAATAGTGAAATCGAAGAAAAGGGCAATTTTCTGACAGATGGGCAGTTGGTTTTTTATTTTGCATTTGCTCAACACTTTTATGTTAGTTTAAAAACACATTTCTGTGTGGATTTTTATTGACAAATGTTGTTCAAAAGCACACAAAAATGTGCAAATTTTTAGTATCCAAAGAACACTCAAGCTTTGGAAGTTAACAAACTTTGGCGGTCATTTTTTCGCTAATTTTACCTCTGACACCAGGCAACCCTCATCTCCTTCAATCGCAAATATCTCGACTTTTACTCAAGATAAATGGGTATTTTATTCATCAAATGTGAGACAAATTAGTAACCCTTTAGATGATACTATTAATTCCATACGCCTAAAAATTAACGAGTTCCTGATTCCATAGAGTCACGAAATATATCTCAAATCATTGTTACGAATAAGATGTACCTCAGTATTCACAAGAGGCCACGACAAACTAAGAAATCACGCAGGCATTCACCAACTGCCGCTCCTGTAGTAAGTTTAAAATTCCATCAAGTCTTGTGGCCTTTGAGTCAAACAGGATCTCCGGTCACCACCGATGATGTAATGTCTTATGTATGATGTTGATAAGAAACAGATTCCTATTCAGATTTAGAACAATCTGCGCCTTTATTTAACAGCATTTGTTCCATACAATATACTGATTATCAATAAGCCCTTCCTGTAACCTCCCATTTCACTGTATTGACTCAGTGTCAACGATGGTCATAATACATTTAATATGTTCTTTTTGTTATCGAGCAGCGAACTTTGAGATGACACTGTTTCATTATATCGGGATCTCTACAAGGATAGGCCATTCCTGGCATTATTTAGAGTATCTGGTTTGACACAAGCAGAAACGGTTCATTTCCTTCGACAAGGTGTTGTGACAACAATATCTGGCCACGGATGCAATAAGCAAACTTAAAGACCATGATTTCCGAGTATTCAAATATTAATTTCGGGGGGATAAGAGTTTTACGGCACATGCCACACAATTAGATCAAATATGTGCCAAAAATTAGAGGTGTTACACCAGAGAAGCAAACAAAAAGGAAAA